TACTACTACTACTACTACTACTACTACTACTACTACTACTACTCCTACTACTCCTACTACTACTTGCTGCTGCTGCTGTTCCTCTTACCACTACTACCTCAAATTCTACAGTTACTGATGCCACGGCTGTTATTATACGTCCGTCATCTTACAAATAAAACGGTCTTTTGAGAATTACTCTTAATAGAGATCACCAGTTTATTCCGCATTTTGACACTGAACATGTATTGATTTGTCTTAATAGATTTGAAAAAAAAAGGTTCGCATGAATCCAAAGACCAACCATGTATTCTCATTGCATTTGTTAATCAGCGATTAACCTCAGTTAAATTAAATATTTTTCCTTGAGCCAGATTTGAAAAAAAGGATGAGCAATAATCAAGTTGATTTCAAAAGAATACGTTCGAAAATGTTGTAGATATTAGACCTGGCAAGGGCAAACTGCGGCCCATGGGCCAGACTTGGCCCCCAAGCAGTTTCAGTCAGATCTGCGAGTCGACCTAGTAATTAATATTGTTTAACGTGAATTAAAATCCATAATGCTGGGTCCAACTGGAAGCAATAGATCTAATAATAATATTTACTACTACTACTACTACTACTACTACTACTACTACTACTACTACTACTACTACATAACGAGTTATCTGTTTTCTTACCGTTTTTTTCTGTGTCCTTGGCTTGCAGCTGGGCATTTTTAGAGGAGATCAAATCTTTGATAGCCTCTGACTGGGACAAGTCCAATGTGCAATACACTGTAACAATAACAACGATTAAACAATAAAAGGGATTTTTTAAAGTGTCTCGTTTAGATCGCTAAAACGTTAGTTTTGTTTATTCAAGAGTTTGACATACTGCAATAAAAAAACACATGAATATAATGTTATTTGAATGGAGGAGCATTTGGGCAAATTTAATAACTTTGTGGACATCTATGAGAAGGAAGATGTGTGGATGGCAGATGCACTGGTGTGTTTGCTCTTTCCTTTTAAACATCTATCGTCCTTATTTCTTCCTTCATTGTGTGTTACATTCTTGAAACACCTCCAATCTTCGGCACTTATTATTATGACCTCATTGTGTTGCAAGCGCCGTAAAGCTCTTACTAAAAAAAGAAAAGGAAGAAGGAAAGTGTACCAATTACCACATTCTACCTCTTATCATGGATATATTATGTGGAAGCTATTCCTCTATGAGGGTGGTTGATCATAATTATGTTCTTTTGGGGTGGTAAAATTGCGTTACTTACCCCCCCCCCCTTTCCTCCCAACTACACACATAATACAACCTTCGTACTGAAGGTAACAGGGGGGAACTACTTTTTGGGAACAACAAGGATATCGGTTTAGTAAGATGCTCAAAGAGTCGATCACAATCGCAATGCAGAAGAAATAAGTGACACTTTCAGGGTGAACGCTGTAAGATTTTCGATAAGATTGATAAAATACTGGCTTAAACATATTATCATTTCTTCATCCCTTTTTAATGTGTGTTCTCGTTTGTAGCTTTACCCCCCCCCCCATTTCCCCATGCACTGTCCTCGTGAACGCAGTACAGATTATAGTTAATCTTGTTGCTCTTTAAGAGTCTTCATTCTCCCGCATCGTTCATAGCAACGCCCATCTCTCTTCGTTCCTCCTTTCACTCCTGTTTTTCCTCCCTACTCTGACTAATATTGTCGACAGAGAATAGTTATTATGTCTTTACATTCATATGCAAAATATAGTTTTAAACGCCTAGGATCTCAGTCGTCAGTAGTTTGTACGCGTACTTGCGTGTGTGTGTGTG